AAGACATATGTAACGGACTGTAATATCTGATACAGTACTAGTAATATCCAATATCAGAAAATCAAACACATTTTCTCTCTGTTATTTTTTATGTATATGTTCTTACTGTAACATCTGTTCAGAAATCAACTGCATTGTTTTGCAAATGACTATTTTTTTGCAGGGCGTTCTTCGAACGCCCTGCTTTGTTTTCGTTCTGGCTATTTTTTTTTTTTTTTCTTCACTCCGGGAGCTCAGTTCTCGGAAACAGCAACAGGTATGGAAAAACGGATTTCGCCACACTTTCTAACTCGTGGCTAACTGCGTACTGAATGTAAAACGAAAATTTTCTGAGCAACATGAAGCGACGTTAGCAACAAACAGAAAGTTGGCTCTAGTGGGCGTAATTATCGACCGATTTTGCTCGGGTTTCCTTTATTCTACTTCTTATAACAATGGACACATGATGGCAATTGAAAAAAATTGATTTTCGCAAATTAGTTCGATACTTTTTTTTGTCGAAATTAATCGAAATATGCTATTTCGGTTGCTATTTGTCGGACAGATTTGAAACTTATACAGTGTAGACAGCCAGCATGGTGGAATAAAAAAACGCATTCAAAATTTTTGCATCACTTCCGGTTTCGAAGTTAGTACTTCCGGTGACGTCACTTTCAGTGGAATTAAGTTATGCCCAAAGTAACATATGGATGATATTAAACTAAAAAAATACTTACCGGAAGTAATAATTAGGTCGCCATTTTGGTTTGCCTCATTTTGCGAAAATTCCTATTCAGAAGCCATTTTTTATCCAATTTGTGTAATTTTTGTGTCAAACGATACTAAATATGTTTGTCTACAATTCGTGGGAAGCAAAATTTTGATTTTCGGTTTTACCTTTTTAATACGAACGGATGTTTTTTTTTCAAAGTTTGAAGGCGTATATCTCGTGACCTTGACCTTTGATGACCTTCATATTAACTGTGATGATAATGTGTGACCTTGTCTATCTGATGACCTTTTGACCTTTGGGGTCAGAAAACTCATTCCCATTTTATAGGGGTCTAAATATGGACCATTTTGAGCCTTTAAAGTGCTATATCTCGGTCCCTAATAGAGATATGGCAATAATTCTTTCGATTTTGTAATGTAAAGATTCTCAGCTTTCCATAGATATATAACATGCATGCCTTACATGCAAATTCAAAACTCCATTCACTTAACATGGGGTTTTTTATTAGATAAATCGGCTAATTAGATTAACCTTGCTGTCAACCCCAACAGAAATCAAATTTTAAGTTGTTTTAAAGACACCCTCTCTTTTATATTTCTTAAAAATGATCTTTGTCCAGTTATGGTATAAAATTAAGCTCTCGGGTGGATTGAATCGTGTCATATTGTAGTTTAAGCTCACGGCAGCATTATTGAAGGTATACCTCCACTTAATTTACCAACTTTCTTATTTACTATCCGATTTTCATCAAACTTGGTATGTATGTGTATAATTAAATTCTAAATTTGATGGAATTATCGAATTTGCGTAGTGCGCATTGCCAACTTTCTTATTTACTATCCGATTTTCATCAAACTTGGTATGTATGTGTATAATCAAATTCTAAATTTGATGGAATTATCGAATTTGCGTAGTGCGCATGTGCATTGCCAACTTTCTTATTTACTATCCGATTTTCATCAAACTTGGTATGTATGTGTATAATCAAATTCTAAATTTGATGGAATTATCGAATTTGAGTAGTGCGCATGCGCATTGCCAACTTTCTTATTTCATATCCGATTTTCACCAAACTTGGTATGTATGTGTATAAACAAACTATAAATTTGATGGAATTATCGAATTTGCAAAGTGCGCATGCGCATTGCCAATTTTCTTATTTATTATCCGATTTTCATCAAACTTGGTATGTATGTGTATAATCAAATTCTAAATTTAATGGAATTATCGAATTTGAGTAGTGCGCATGCGCATTGCCAACCTGCTTATTTCTTTTCCGATTTTCATAAAACTTGGAATGTATGTGAATAATTCAATTCTAAATTTGATGGAAATATTAAATTTTTGTTGTGCGCATGCGCATTACCGACTTTCTTATTTTTTATCCGAATTTCACCAAACTTAATATGTATGTGTTTAATTCAATTCTAAATTTGATGGAAATATTGAATTTTTGTTGAGCGCATGCACATTACCAACTTTCTTATTTCTTATCCGGATTTCATCAAACTTAGTCTTTATTAATTGACATATATTCTTTTATTCCTAGTTAATATACTTTAAACTCCAGGCACTTTTGGATATTTGCATTTAGAGATGCAGAAAGGTATTTACATAAAGTAATTGCAATAGACCATCTTCGTATGTACCTGAATGTCTTAACCCGCCCTGCATCAGTACTGTTATTAGAACAGTTCTAGTTGCAGGGCGTTCGTTTGTTTTCGTATTGATTTTTTTTTTTTTTTTTTTTTCGTCCAGCGCAGGCCGGTTTTCTCGGAAACAGCAACAGGTACGGGAAAACGGACTTCGTGGCGTTTCGTAACTCGTGGCTAATCCCAGCTTAAATCTAAAACGAAAACTTTCTGAGCAACGTTAGCAACGTTGGCAACAAATGGAAAATGGACTCTAGAGGGCGTGTTTATCAACCGATTTTGATGGGGTTTTCTTCATCGTAATTCTTGTAACAATGGACATATGATAGCAGTTGAAAATTTTCGATTTTCGAAAATTCGTTCTAATTTTTTTTTTGCCGAAATTAATCGAAAAATACTATTTCGGTTATTATTTGGCGGATTGACTTGAAACTTACATGGTGTAGACTGACAGCATAGTGGAATAAAAGCACATATTCAAAAATGTTTTATCACTTCCGGTTTCGATGTTAGTACTTCCGGTGGTATCACTTCCGGTGAAATTGAGTTATCTCAAAAATAACATATGCATTATATTACCAGCCTTAATACAAACTTATTAAATTAAAAAAATTCGCACCGGAAGTAACATTTAGGCCGCCATTTTGGTTTGCCTCATTTTGCAGAAATTGCTATTCAGAGGCCATTTTTCATCTGAGTTGCGTAATTTTTGTGTCATACGATACGTTTAATGTCTATCTACAATTCTTAGGAAGCATAATTTTGATTTTCGGTTTTGCCTTTTTTGTACAACCTGATGTTTTTTTCCAAAGTTTGAAGGCTTATAACTCATGACCTTGATCTTTGATGACCTTTATATTGACCATGGTGATAAAGGCTGTCCTTGACCTTCTAATGACCTTTTGACCTTTGGGGTCAAACAACAAATTCTGATTTTATAGGGGTTTAAATATGGTCAATTTGGCATTTTTGCAGTGCTGTATCTCAAACCCTAATTGATTTAGCGACATACTACTTTCAGATTATTAATGCACTTTATAAATGGATTCAATTTATATGGCATTTGATCGTGTCAAAGTCACATTAAAGGAAATGTTGCAATTTTCTTCAAACTTTGAACGCTTTTACCAAAGGAACTTGGCCTCGGATGACGTTGATATTTACATTGATAATTACTATTGACTTCAACTTTTACATGATGTTAATGTTTTCTTATGTCCGACACGTAGTTTCGGTTTTATGGGTGTCACTGAAAGTTGAGTCTGCATCTTTAAAGTGTCCTAACATGTGCCCTATTAGAGGTAGAGAAATAATTCTGTCGGATTCAAAATGCTGAGATCTTGAGCTTTCCAGGTATATATAACATGCATGCCTTACATGCAAATTCGAAAACCCATTCACTTAACATGGGACTATTATTAGATAAATCGGCTAATTAGATTAACCTGGCTGTCAACCCCAATATAAATCAAAGTTTAAGTAATTTTAAAGACACCCTCCCTTTTATATTTCTTTAAAATGTTTTGTGTCCAGTCAAGGTATATAAATAGGTTCTAGGATGGATTGAACCGTGTTATACTGTAAGTTAAGCTTACGGAAGCACATTAAAGGCATACCCCCACTTAATTTCCCAACTTTCTTATTTTTTATCCAAATTTCACCAAACTTGGTATGTATGTGTATAATCAAATTCTAAATTTAATGGAATTATCGAATTTGCGAAATGCGCATGCGCATTGCCAACTTTCTTATTTACTATTCGATTTTCATCAAACTTGGTATGTATGTGTATAATCAAATTCTAAATTTAATGGAATTATCGAATTTGCGAAGTGCGCATGCGCATTGCCAACTTTCTTATTTACTATCTGATTTTCATCAAACTTGGTATGTATGTGTATAATCAAATTCTAAATTTGATGGAATTATCGAATTTGAGTAGTGCGCATGCACATTACCAACTTTCTTATTTCTTATCCGATTTTCACCAAACTTGGTATGTATGTGTATAAACAAATTCTAAATTTGATGGAATTATCGAATTTGTGAAGTGCGCATGCGCATTGCCAAATTTCTTATTTATTATTCGATTTTCATCAAACTTGGTATGTATGTGTATAATCAAATTCTAAATTTAATGGAATTATCGAATTTGAGTAGTGCTCATGCGCATTGCCAACCTTCTTATATCTTTTCCGATTTTCATAAAACTTGGTATGTATGTGAATAATCCAATTCTAAGTTTGATGGAAATTTTTAATTTTTCTTGTGCGCATGCGCATTACCGACTTTCTTATTTATTATCCGGATTTCATCAAACTTATTCTTTATTAATTGACAAAAATTCTTTTATTCCTAGTAAATATACTTTAAACTCCAGGCACTTTTGGATATTTGCATTTAGAGATGCAGAAAGGTATTTACATAAAGTAATTGCAATAGACCATCTTCGTATGTACCTGAATGTCGTAACCCGCCCTGCATCAGTACTGTTATTAGAACAGTTCTAGTTTTTTTTTTTTTTGTCTACTTCTGGTCACGCTCCCCAGCCAAAATTACACATTGTCTGACACTATTATTTCTTATACTTTGCGTATCGCTACTGTTTAAATGTAAAATGACGCATTTTCTTCCAACCGGAAATGACGTATGACGTTAACCATTCATTACGTATTTCGAATTACTGCTCTAATTCTGCATCTATTTTGACCGTAACTTTTGTTTTGTTCATTACTTTAAACCAATGACTAAAAGATAGCACTTTATAAAATTTCAGATTTTGACTTTTGTCGCTGACTTTTTTTGTTTTAATTTTAGCGTTTTTTTCAACTTCTACAATTTTATTTCAATCGGTCTAAAAATTTAATAGTAGATAAGCATTTTGATTCCTGACAAATTTATTTTCAAAATTTCGATATCACTTCCGGTTTTGACAACATTCGCCTCTAAACTTGAAATTTCAACTTCCGGAATTTTGTAGGTATTTGAAAAATTCTTTTTGAAATTAGTTAAAATTGTCCCTATAACAATTTTGGAATGAAAAAATTTGAACCGGAAGAAACGTGTTAGACGCCATCTTGATGTGACCAATTTTTGTAAAAATCGATATTAAGCTTCAGGGGTAAATCTGATTTGTGTGATTTTGGTGTCTAAAGAAACTGCAATCGATTGCTAAGAAAACTTAGGAAGCCGATTTTTGAATTTTGGATTCGTATTTTTTTTATTTCCGGTTTTATGTTTTCAGTAATTGTCAAAAATATTAAGGCTCATATATAGTGACTTTGACCTTTGGTGACCTTGTGACCTGAACAAAAGTTGTTGCCCCTTACGAGATATATCCGTTGATATCCTCACTTTTGTTGTGCATCGTTAACTTCTGGTTCTACAGCCATTGGAAAATCACGATTTTTAACTTTGAAGAGCTCTGTCACGTGACCTAATTAACATACGACAAAAATTCTTATATATTCTTTGAGTGCATAAAATCTCCTTTTTGGTGATATATCACACTTGATATTTTGATCAAAATTGCGCGTTTTAAAAATCGAAAATTTTGTACTGACTTCTATAGTAACTGTGCGTAAAATCACGGTGTCTATAATTTACCGACAGTCACCGTTGCCCTAAAAAAAAGTTTAACTACGAATATCTCATGATCTAATGATTGTAAAGACTTGAAATTTTGAACATTATTTAACAATGTACACATCATCACAGACAAATTAAAATTTTTGAAGTGGGCGTGGCACATCCGGTGTGCATTTACCTTTACCTGAAATATTTGCCAATTGTTATAACTCTCATAGTTTTCAATTGTCACCCTAGAATGCATGAAAATAGATCACTGCTTAGGACATTTTGTGATAAGATTACAGTTGTTTGCACTCTTTACTTTAAAAAAGGGAATAGGTTTAACAATTTTATAAATTTTCATTTATGATCTTTAGCATGAATGACCTTGACCTTTGCATGGTCAAAGGTCATTGACTAAGGATGACCATTCTTACTTTGATCTTTGATGTCCGATATATACTTCCGGTTTTTCAGACGTCCGACAACAGCAATTTTCGAAACTTCAAAGGCTCATATTACTTTTATTTGACATTTGTTGACCTTTTGACCTGAACAAAAGTTGTTACCCCTTACGTGATATATCCGATAATACCTTCACTTTTGTTGTGCATTGTTAACTTCCGGTTTTACAGCCATTGGAAAATCGCGATTTTTAACTTTGAAGAGCTCTGTCACGTGACCTAATTAACATATAACAAAATTAAATACATACACATTAAATATAACGATTAACAGACTGTAATATCTGATACAGTACTAGTAATATCCAATACCAACACATTATATATAACAGACTGTAATATCTGATACAGTACTAGTAATATTCAATACTAATAGTGGACTGCTTGTTAAAGATTCAAAATTATCTACATGATAATAAAGATTAGACAACATTCAATAGTTTCTTTATAATGGGAGACAACTTTATTTATTATTTGTTATAAACGAATATGAGACAGTTTCTAGTGAAGTCAGAATTCACTTTGAATTCACATTGAAACAGAACAATTGCGAAAGGTGATGGCACAACAAATTCCATAGTGCAACACTACTGTGATGGGTTTTACTGAGTACAGGTTAAACGCACCTTTTGAGCCTTCTAAAGAAGGAAATATTACCATGTAGTTGTTAATGATGGATTCTGTTGGTGGCAGCGGACGGTGATATTCTCGGTTTTTTTGTGTTGTTCAAGCTTTGATGTAACATGGGTTACAAGCACCTCAGGGGCACCAGAGAAGTACACGAAAGACCCATGAGTCAGTTTTTAACGGAACTATTCTACTGATAACCAAACCTTTTGTCAGATTTGCCTAACATTTTAAGGATTTTGGTATTTGCCATGAATTACCAACTGCACTCTGGTAGTCTTTTATTAAGCTCTTAAGTTATACTTTGGTGGGGATAACAGGAGGTAGTAATTTATTGGGGTAAAAGGTGTCCAAAAGGTTTGTAACCGAGATTCCGGTGTTTCTCACGAGAACCCTCTCTGACGTGATTACGGTAAAAAAAATTGTAACCGAAATCCCAGTGTTTCTCAAGACCCTCTCTGACGTGATACCTTCTAGACATTGCTACAATATAGAAGCATGTATTTAGATCATATTATACAATCATATAATAGTATGTATAGGTGTTTTCATGTTTAAAAGGGGCAGTAAATTACAGCCTTACAATAAAAAAAAACTATACACTAGTAGGCCACATGTATGACAAGAGAAGATCGTCTTGTTGAATATTATTCAATAACATGGAGTATAAAAGTATATTAATAGTTATAGTATATTTATCAGTACTAATTACAGGTAAGTGATGTATTTATATTGTATTAATTTATCATGATATACAGCTATAAGACAAGTCTTCGTGTAGAAAATGAAATAATAGTTATATTCAACTTACGCTTAACGCATTTAATAATATCATATGATATATCGAATCGCACTGTCAACTTTGACATTTCTTTATTTAGATATTTGACTTCTAGTTTTACCTTCAAAATATTTAGACCATATACCCTTTATATGTAACATGGATAAAATCATTTGATAGATAGTTGCCTTCTTTTTTCCTATTGTAGATTTTATGTCCCAAAATAAACTAATAGGGATTTTATATCGAGAGGAAGAATGATCGGTTCAAACTAAAATATTCAACAAAATATCAAGTTTCTACTAACAGCAATGCGATGTCAGCTGGCTTTTATTATTTTATATCTTAAAACTTAGATTGGCAGTTTTATGTAAAATAGTTGAATTCAGAATTAACTGATGGAATGATATTTCCTTTTAACGAAATAATATCATGCATTTCGTTTAAACGAAAAAAGTAATTCGTTTAAAATAAAAGAATGATATTATTTCGTTCAAACGAATTAATTATTTCGTATTACTATGCATTGAAAATAGCTACAAGTTCTTTAATTACCATATTCTTTACAGGTCAATATACTATAAGAGGAGTTCCTGAAAGTTATGCAGAGTTAGGTGAAAATTATACATTACAATGTACTGTTACAGATTCCCCTAGTCTTGTAGATTTCCGGAGAAACAATATTGTTTTATGTAGTATATTCTCTGGAGTTTGTCAGAGTACTACACCAATAGATAATAGATATAAATGTGAATGTATCAATAATAACAAAACACTATATCTCAATATAAGTAATATAAATATACAAGATGATACAACATGGTCTTGTAGAGGTAATTCTGGTGGACAAGGATCAACTAATGTATCAGTTTATTGTAAGTTTATTTTCATGGCAATTTATTTCAAAACATTTCTTAAATAGACAAATTAATGTTGAATTCGTACAACAAAGATTGATTTCACTGTACTTGTGACAGTTTAATACTTCTCATTTAGATTTGGGCGCACAAAATAATGTTCATTGTTTTTAAATAAATATTCAGTTTAGCCTCCAAATGATAAGTATTCAAAAATTGAATTAGGCATTACTAATAAGTAACTAGCCATAAGAAATTACATCTTAAATAACCGTACAAATAATAACGTCTTTACATTTAAAAATCTAAGATACTACCCCCAGATTTAGATACATTTTTTATCAAATGTAAACAAACCAAATGTCGGATTATGTCGAAGTATTTGTGTCAATTCAACATACTTATATAATTTTACAGATGGTCCAGAGAATATAAGATATAATCCTAATAGTGATAATATAGATGTTATAGAAGGAAAGCGTCAGAGTGTCAACTGTTTAGCTGATTGTAAACCAGATTGTAACATCACCTGGTCTAAAGATGGTTTTAACAACAATTCTAAATAACCCTTTATCACTTAGTACTAGAGATCAAACTGGTTCTAATACCTGTACAGTTAGACATACTGTATTAAATAAACAACTTACAAAACAAATTAATGCTCAGATTTATTGTAAGTATATAATACTATAACATGTTTAACTGATTGTTATTATTCCAGATGAACTTACTTTCTCACCAGATGTAACAAGTATCAATATAATAGAAGGTAGAGATCAAACTATAACATGTTTAAATGATAGTATTATTTCAGATGGTCCTGATGAACTTACTTTCTCACCAGATGTAACAAGTATCAATATAATAGAAGGTGGAGATCAAACTATAACATGTTTAACTGATTGTTATAAATGTAATTATAACTGGACTGGGCCAGTTTCATCACCAACTAAAGATCTTGTATTGACTCAAATAAAAGAAATCAGGAAGGAAACTATAGATGTGAAGCTACCAATATTAAAAATACCATCCCTAAAACAAGATCTAAATCTATACAAGTTAATGTACATTGTAAGTATCTAATTCAATATATTACCCACCTCTGAAATGAAATAAACGAAATTGGGCATTTTCTGATGATAAGTAACGGGGTTATTGTACTCGTCCGAAAAGCTACGTTTAAATAAATGCAAAAGTCTTAATAGATATTTTTCAAATAGTATTGCTAAGCTTGTGATGTTTGTAAGTACTTTTGGACAATCACACTTTTCATTCACTGAAAAATCCTCGAAAAATCTTATGCTAACAGTTGATTTGTCCAACCATTATAAAAATCTATAGGCATCATCCTTGGCACGGCCTAAATTTGAAGCCTGTAAAATGAGCATCATTATAAACAGACCAACGAAAATGCGAAGACAACATTGTTCGCTGTGTGTGCATATAAAATTATGATTGTGCTAAAGGGCATTAATTGCTTTACTTCTGTTTTAGATCCACCATATATAACCAGTATAACATCTGATGCTGTAGATAACGAAACTGATGAAGGTTCTGATGTTATATTTAACTGTAATGTTAATAGTAAACCAGTATCTACTATAACCTGATCATCTTCTACTAGTACTGATACTAACACTGGTCAACAGTGGACATTAACACAAGCTAAATGTCAGGATACAGGAATCTATACATGTACAGCTAATAATGGTATTGGTCAGTCAACTACTAAAGCTTTACCATTAAATATTAGATGTAAGTAATATTTAGTCAGTATACTATAATCTATACATGTTCAGCTAATAATGGCATTGGTTAGTCAACTATTAAATCATTACCATTAAATAATAGATTTTAGTATATATTTATTCGGGTATACTATAATCTTTACATGTTCAGCTAATAATGGCATTGGTTAGTCAACTATTAAATCATTACCATTAAATAATAGATTTTAGTATATATTTATTCGGGTATACTATAATTAAATCATGTACGGCTAATAATGGTATTAGTCTGTCAAATACTAAATCTTTACCTTTAAATATCAGATGTAAGTTTATATTAAGTCAGTATATACATGTACAGCTAATAATGATATGAATAATTCGTGTCTCCAACCTACAAATAAACTATAATCACTAAAAAGTGCAAACTGATCTGATCATTGAAATAACATTTATTCAACTTCTTAGAATTTCTGATCAAGATTTAGTTTTTCTCAATGGTTTAACGCAGCTTTATATTTACTCTAGTTTTTTACATTAACCTTTTTTAAGGTCCACCAATACTTAAAGGTGAACTGAAGAAAGAAATAAGAGGAAAAATTGGAGAAATGGTATTATTAGAAATAAATATAGAAGCTTATCCTGAACCAAGTTTTATTTGGAAACAACTGATATCTGATATAGAATATCCCT